TTTAGTGATAGGTTTTAGACTTGCACCAGTTTAGCTGAGAGAAAAAAATTGCTATAAATGGCTAAGTTGTGTTAAAACATACTGCAGCTAATAGAAAAAACTTTCTTTAATGGGTCTAATTGTATTGTGAATGTTGAGGGTTAGGGTGAAAAGTGAAGCTAATTTTGGAAGAATAGAGTTTGTGCAAATTACAATGAATACTTAATTTAGAAGTGATAGTTTTACAATTACAATTAGCTGCCTTTTACTGCTGTTTTCTAGGAACACGAGTAACATTTTATGAAGAAAAACGAAACATATTTGACTGCATGAAACAAAGCAGAATAAAAACGCAACAAAACACTTTGGCAGTAATTAGTGCTCGTGGTACTGAGTGGCTCTTTGGAGGCTGTTGAATCTGCCTGTCGCCCCCCTCGGGAGCCGCTCCGGCAGCCAGCGCCGCTTCCGCAGGGCGCTTTATTCGGGTCACAAGGCAGTGTTTCTCACCAGGGCGCTGCTGTTTCCTCTTCCGACTCTAGTAGATTACAGATTATACTGGAACATGTCTGAGAAAAGGTCAGAAGAGAGGGTGAAAGTCCTGGAACCGGAGCTGGGAAGCTTTTTATTCTCATCCGTGAAACTCAGTGTGTTGAATAAAAAGCAGAACAAAACAAACCACCATATATACGGCACTTTTGTTTTCCCTGGCATTTACTGTTTTCCAGTTAGGATTGTGTTTCTCTTGCATTATATAATTAGTGACTGTTTAGTGGAGGTATCTTCAGCTTTGCGCTGGGCAGAAGTAATGGCTAAACCAAATCCATTTTCTGTGATGCAGAGCCTGCTGGTGACTGCATAGCCCCAAGTTTCTGTGCTTTTATGTACCAAATTAAAGATGTTGATTAAAACACGTGGTACACTTTGAAACCTACTCTCTTAAGTTCTGTAAGATATAAAGGCTGTGTTTTTGAATTTTAATGATGGTTGCTATTAATTAGGCTGTTATATGGGAGAGTAATAGAATAATGAAAACACGAAAAAAATCCCTGCCAACTTGTGACTGTGTAGCTGAGAGGTACGCAGTGCCGCCTTGGTGGTTTATCACAAGGGTATGGAGAAACCAAAGCGCTCAGGACGGTTACTTTCCTGCTGGAAAACACAGCCCTGCTTGCCTTGCTCCATGACCAGGTGAAGTGTTGCAGTGCAGGAGTCTTGCAGCACTGCCAAGTGGAGGCAGTGCCTACACATAGGCTTGAAACCACTAGGGAAATTTAATGGGTAAAATTGTCATTCCACTTTGCTAGTTTGGTGTGTGTCCTCATAAGACTAAAGAGTGTAGCTCGAGTTTTATAGCCTCTAGGCTTGCTCTAACAGAGCAAACGTGGTTGAGGCTACCTGTGAGGCTGTGCCTGCGTGTACATACACTGCAGTTAGACCCGAATGGGGGAACGAGTCACTTGTTGGCATTGCCATGGTGCTGTGCACGTAGCAGAGAGCAGCAGAGCTGCGCCGGGTAAATCCGTGCAGCTGCGTCCACGGAACGCGTTGAGGAAGAACTACAGGATTTTTACATGACCCTGGTTGCACGTGCAGTGCTAATACGGAGCTGCTGCATTTTGAGGTCTATGTTATTAATAGCAGCAAAAATCAGGATGATTTTCTCCCTCTCCTAAAAGATGCTCTGTGGCAGCTGGGTGCTCTGCAGGGCTCCTCTCCACTGACCAGCCTGAAACCTGGGCTCCTCGGGGACCTTAGCTGATCAGAAGAGGACAATTATTTTTATTATTAATCAAAATTATTTATTTTACATTATTTGTTTATTAATTAATCAAAAGTATTAATTACTTTTGATTGAATGCTTTTGAGCAAGTACTACAAATAATACTTCTAGTATGTTTTTCATAAGTGTAGCCCTCCTTTCAAAAATATATTTATGAAAATGAAGGAAATGTGTGATTTGATCAAATGTGTGAATCTCACATTCAAGCCTTTGAGAATTTTATACTTTTCCAAATGTCTGGGGGGCAAAGCTCTCTCTTTAAATTAAAATCTGTAGCCGTCCCTGAGTGACCGTGGCGGTGTCCGGGGAGCGCAGCTGAGGGTCGGGCGGTTTGGGAGCGGAGCCGCGTGGGGAGCGAAGGCGGCAGAGGGGCCGCGGCCTCGCGAGGCCTCACCTGCCAGGAGCTGCTGATGGCTTTTCCACAGATGTCCAGCTCGCTCAAAACCCGGTAAATCTTGCGGAGTTTATTTTCCTTATAGCATCTGTGTTTTATAATGGTGCTTTTAATTTGTTTTTTCTTTGTCTGCTGGGACTTCTTTTGTCCGGCGCTTTCAGGCCTCCCTTTTTTTTCCTTTTTGTTTTTTTCCAGTGGAAGTGAGTCCGTGAATGACGACCGGCCGGGGAATAGGCCCGGCAAGGCCGACAGGACGGGCTGCTCCCTCCGCGTAACAACAAAGCCCGTTGTTGTTTTCTTTCTTCTCTTTTATCCTCAACTTAATCCATTTTTTCCTATGAGTATTTGTGGAATAAAATGTCTGGAAAAGCGCGGCTCAGGTTCTGAACAGCTGGTATGGCAGCGTGTGTGCTAGGGACCTTCAGCCAACAGGCACCGAGACAGAACCCACGGGGCTGGGGGTTGCTCTTATTGATATATGCATTTCTTTAGGAGCGTTGCTATGTCCTGTCCCCGCGTGGCAAGGTAAGAGGAGGCCAGGGTTCCTCAGCCCGCAGGAAGGGTTTGTTCCTGGAGCACTTGCACTGTGGCTTATTCGTTGTGTGTCCCTTGACAGGGGATCAGCACCCGCATGAGTGTAGATGCCACCTCGCTGCCTTGCCTGGGTCTCTCCTGCTCTTCTGGCCTCATCCTGAGTCTCCTGCACTCAGAGCTGCCCTCCCACCTGCAAGGGTTGGACGAGTCGTGGGGGCTTCTGGCCGAGCTTCTGGGGGGAAGGAGCACACCATAAAATGTTTGAAATAACTGGTTTAAAATAACTAGTATTGTTGTTGAAATAATAGATTAGCAGCAATAGTTATTTAAATAGTTCTTTAATCCTGTGGCCTCCTGAGTAGGCTTAGCTCAGAATAATGCAGGAACTCGACCTCCTGTAGGAGGGACATCTGCAAATATCTCCCCTTTCTGCAAATCAATACTCTGTCGAATGAATCCACAAAAAGTTTTGCATATGGAAAACAACGTGATGTTGAGAGTGGAGTAATTAAATTTGCTGAGAGAAAGCAACCTGGTAGAGCACAGTCATTTGCTTCAGTGCTTCGTAGTTAGTCATTATATCCCTGACAAGTAAAAGAAAACAAATTATAGGCTGGTGGAGCCCCTCCTGCTTGCTGGGCTGCTGCGGTTGCTCGCAGCCAGAGGAGGAGAGTGCGACGTGTTCAGAGCAGCTTTGGTTACGTACGACATAATCAGACAATAATGCAGCAAACCCTTCGTGTTGCTCTCGACAAGAGCCGGGGATGCGTCAGGAAACTAATCTTAAAAAATTAATTGCATCTCAGACTTAATCTAAAAAAATGAGGGTTTTTTTTTCCTTCTTCCTGCTTCTTTTTATTCCGAATTGGTGCAGGAAAATTGCTATTAATGAAATCTGTTCTTTGAGACTTCAATAGGCTTGTTCATTAAAGCCTTGCTGTTTCTCTTAAAATGTATTGACCAATGTTGAGGCCAGATACTTAACACAAAATACTCTTTGTAATTTCATCATTTTTGCTATTGTGCTTTTCTAAGATGCAGAGGTCTCTGTACTTTGTAGAAAAACAAATAAAACCCCAAAGCTTACAGTTATATAGTATTAAAAGAAGGGCAAAGGAAGCATTGAGTGTCTTTAGGATGATGAGACATTCATTAAGATTTTTCCGCCTTCCTTTTCCTATTTTCAATCCATCTGAAGCACCATTAAAGCTTTTCAGGCAGCTTCCTGTGAGAAACCCTTTGCTGTGCTGTTTTTCTTCCTTGAGAAAAGGTGGCTGCTCTTCAGGCAGATTGTATGGATTTGGCCTGGGATTTGTATAATATCTGTGCAGAATGCAGCAGTTGTTTAGGAACCTAATTCCCAATATGGTCCCTTTTGATTACGAACAAAGCCAGCGTTTCACAGCATTATAGGAACACAGAAAAACAAGTTAATGATCTAAACCTTTTAATTCACGGTTGCTTGTCTATTTAAAGTACTTTTGATTCTGTTATAAACAGACTGGCCCCTTTTTTGTTTAACTCCTTTCTTTGGGTTCTTCACATTTCTTTCTCTCCTGTCCATGAAATTTGGAGCTCGTTTCCTTTTCTAACCAAAGAATGAAAGGTTGTGACTAGAGAATGATACAGAAAGTAAGAAAGCGTATCTAAACTGGGCAGATATCCAGCATGGAGCTCTTTTGAAACAAGCTAAATTTAGGGTTGTTAGAATTTTTTTCTTATGTTTTCCCCTTCCTTTTTTTTGCTTACCTGTATTTTGTTTATTCTTCTTTTTTGAATATGAATGTTGTTACTTTTTCAATACTTGCTTGATTTTATAAAAAAAAGTTCTGCGTTGGCTTTGCTCTATAGAGGCTCGTAGTATTTTTGTCCTTTCTTAGTCCAGCAGATTGCTATTCTGTGTGCCTATATCCATAAAGGCAACAAGAGCGACCTTTGCAGGACTTTCAACTATGAGCACAGTAAGAAAAGAGTTGCCTTTAAGAATATATATATTTTTTTAAAGAGAGAATTTGAACGTAGGTTTTGTTTTTTTGGACTGAAAAGAACACTCGGTCAAATGACAGCAGCATAAATAATTTTCTTTCCCTGGAGGGAAACCTTAACCCCATGAATAAGTGTATGCGAATGTATCTGCTGCTGTTGTCTCTATATACTTACATTTTTACCTGAATTCGCAATGACTCTTTTGGGTTTGTTCGTTTGCAACAGGAGCTCCTTATTCCTTTTCCTTCGAAATGATACATGGAGGGGGAAAAAAAAAAAAAAACCCAAACCTAGTAACACATTTCATGGTGTGTTTCTGCCCCGCAGGTAAGCTGAACAGCCAGGACACTTACAACAACTTCACCAACAACAACCCGGGGAACCCTCGGCTCCTGCCGCTCCCGAGTCTGACGGTGGTGCTGCCTCTTGCTCAGATCAAGCAGCCAATGACATTAGGGACCATCACCAAGCGCACAGGGTAAGTGTATCCACACAAGCCTTTCCCGATTCGGATATTTATGATTTACGGAGAAATAATTTGCTAATAGTGATACTTAGATTATTCATTCTTTCATTCTGGTATATATGCTTAAATAGCAACAGAAGAGAGAGGAGAAAAGGTGGCTGTGGGGGGATCTAGCAAAGAAAGTTAGCATCCAATAAGCAAACAAACCGTGAAAAGCGAAATCTGTCCAAGAATT